AAGGCTGCTATAAGGTCTCCCCACAGCCTTCTCTTCTCCAGGCTGAACAACCCCGACTCTCTCAGCCGGTCCTCATAGGAGAGGTGCTCCAGCCCTCTGATCATCTTCGTGGCCCTCCTCTGGACCTGCTCCAACAGGCCCATGGTACCTCTCCTTGACTTCCCCTTATGGTGGCAAACTGTAACTTTAAGCAAGTGAGCGGTAAAATGCCATGGAACTCTCTCATTTCACATCAAGCTCTACAAAGGAAAGATTTGTTCAAAGTGTATGTCACTGCTATTGTATTGTATTTATGAGATATGATTGCTAGGTACTAAGTCTAGAATAACATTGGTATTTTTCTCTTTTGACTCTTGAACCCCAGTCAGCTTTGCCCACTTGGCTGCCATGGTGCTTACTCTGTCATTTTATTTTTTCCTTATTATTTTAAAAACAGCAAAGAGTCTGGACATCCCCCTTCCAGTTGTGTGGGTGTTCAGATGCCATGGTGATGGAGCGTATGCACAGAAACAGACCCCACTGCATGTGTCTGGTGGCCTGTGCTGCTCAGGCAGACAAGCTGGCAAGCCTTAGCCCCCCAGTAAATAAGGAAGAGCCCCAATGCAGAGGATTTAGAAAATATTGCAACACAGGCTGCATGGGTTCAGCTGCTGGCTCTGCTCCAGCCAAAGCTCTGCCAGCTCCTGTGCTTCACAGGACAAGCTCCAGCATACAGCCTGCCCCTGGCGAATGCCCACAGGTATGGTGTTCTGCCTGGTTTTAAAACTGACTCCCCGTAATTTGAGGTAAAAGTCTCAAGAAGCAGGATACCCCCATGGTCTCACTCCCTCTGCTTGCCAAAATGAAAAGGCAAGTGCTGATGGAAATAAAAGACAGAGCTTTCTGGAGGAAGTTTATGATGTCTGTACTACTAGTTAAAAACCTCCTGCTGTTGGTCCCCTCATGCCCTGCCATCATTCTGCTGAACAAGAAAGTACCTGTGGAGCTCTGCTAGCTTAAAACCGGAGTTAAACAAGGAGGCAGACAGAGCAGGATACAGACTGTTCGCTTCCTCCTTGCCATCCAGAGAACGTCGAATAGAGGTTTTTGGATGCAGCAGACATGGGTTCACATTGAAATTTAAATATGAGGCCTATTGGGGTATTTTTAGTTCTCTTTAAGTTTGCAAATATGGCTGAATGTAAGTGAAAGTGGTTTGAATTGGGAAAGTGCTGTATATGCAAAGAAAAACTGGATAGGAAAGCCTTACAAAGCTAGTGAGGCTACCTCTTTCATCCCACACTGGATAGGTTTTTTACTAGAACAATTAGGTTTTTTACAGCTTTTTAAATGTCATGTACAGAAGCTGTGCAAATTGTTCATAACAAACAAGAATATGCAGGCATCTTCCTGAATTTCTGTTACTGCTGCGCAGGAATGGGAAACTATAATTCTAGCAAGAACACAAACTGGTCTAGAGCAAAGCCAAAGTGATAAGCAGTGTTTTGACTGCAGCTACATGGGGTGATCATGGCCCCAGGCTTCTTCTCACGGGCCTGTGAGGGAAAAGCATGCAAGCGGCTATGCTGCCAAGAGAGAAGCCATGGTGACTTCTCTTCTGACAACACTTTTTGTGCCCTGAAGTATTCTAATGGATAACATTTGAGATGAAAAATGAAAAAAAGTGTCATTTTTTCACTGAATTTTCCTCTTTTCCCTAGACATGATCTATATTGAAGCTATAAACTCCATGTAACAGTCTGAGACACAATTACTATTGAACCAAGATAAAATTAACTGGTAAAATCCTGTCCAATACTCTTCAATACCTGTCAAGTTCTAACAGGATTCAGTATTAGCCAAGACTTATGTTTAAAGTGGTACATCTTTAAACTAGCTTGCTGAAAAAAATAAGATTTTTTTAAAGCTTCCTACTGACTTTTTACTTTGTTTATTCCCTGCTGCGAATTCATTGAATGGTCTTCCTATTTCATGCTGTTCAAGGTAAAAAAAAAAAGATTTCATGCTCTTTGCCATCAGATATCTGCTTATTGAAGCATGTTATGATGCCTGCAATTAGGTTTGCGCTGCTGCGGGATGAGGGAGTCAATGGTGGGTAATTACTGTAATTGGCAGCAGTTCTGGCTGCTGTCGGACGGCGCCGCTGGTACTGCCCAGGGCAGCCACACAGGAGGGCAGCTCCTCTCCTCGCCTCTCACCTTCCTTGGGAGCATCACCCACTGCCCCGCTCTGTGTCCATTGAGATGTCCAGGGCAGCCTTGCTCTTTCTGAGAACGCAGACCGCTTTTTGGCCAATACATGAGACGAAGGATTTGGGTATTCCACTGAAGCCAACTCACCTGCTTAAAGTTATTTTGTGTTAAATGCTTTCTTCAGTTAGACTCAACAATATATTCTTTTCACGCCCCAAGAGGCTGCTTTTTCTTGTAGGACGCAGACAGGTGTGTAGAGCTATATGGTAACTCCTGCAATTCTGTGAGAAGAAATGCCTTTACGTTTCATACAGGTTGGTGGGAACAGAGCATCCAAAGGTTTTATATGACTGCGTACTCAGAACAAGGTGGGCCTCAGGCCTGAAAATAAGGAGAGAAGAAGCACACTGAGAAAGAAATATTTCTCATTCTAATATCATTTGCAAAAGAAAATGAAAAACTAAGCCTCTCTGTGGACCATCTATATTGTAAAATGTAAGGTATACAGGTTTACGAACAGCATTTAATCATAGAATCATTAAGGTTGGAAAAGACCTCTGGGATCATCGAGTCCAACCGTTAAAGTAGCATTGTGTAAAGAAGCAACATGAAAACAGTAACATGCACCATCATGTAGAAGAGAGCTGGGTTAGAGATGTGCTACACACGAGGATGGTGCAGGTAGCATGGAAATGGATGTGGCTTTCAGCACTCTCAGGATGAGAGTGCTGGTGTGGGGGAGATCTGTGTCCTCTCTTAGCCCCAGCTGCATGGTGGCACTGGGCTAGTTAACCCCAAGCTGGAGCCAGGAGGTGAGGCACAAGAAAATCCCCCATTGCCCTCCTGCAGGCAGCCAGAGCACACCTGGGAGGAATCACTGAGCTCAGACACCAATGCCCACCGTCCTGCCAGATATGTGCATGAGGCACCATGCCCAAGTGCCACTCTCTGGTGCTCCACCATTGCCCTCTGCTCCTCAGGGAGTAAGGCTTAACCTATGTTTTTCTACTCATCCTTCCCCATACCCCAGATCCTCCCAGTCACGTCATGCTTGACACAAGGCACTTTGAGAGCGTCACTTTCCAGAGCCGGGCAGTTCTCCCTCCCTGCCATGCCCTGTTTGGTGGTGCATCATTTGTCACCGCCAGCCTTCCCTGGTCCTTCGCTGTGCTGCCCCAGATGAAAGCTAGCCCAGCACAGCCCCATTCACATGAACATGCTCTGGTTCATGAGGACTCTACACCAAACATTAAAATGTATTAACTGTTACCTCAGGTGACAAACACGTATCACCAAGGGACAATTTTGCAGAGGACAGATAGGTATTGGTGACAGTAATATCTTCTAGCTCAGTGCTGAAGTGATCAGACTCTTTGATGACGTTAGAATTTAGGGCCACGCTGTAATTGGCTGGTTTCTTCTCCCCTTTCTGCTGGCAATTGCAGAGTTTCCTGAAGGCTGCTCTGAATTTCTGGGACATGAGATTGTAAATCACAGGATTGATAGCACTATTTAAATAAATACAGATTCTGCAAAATAGCAGGAACCAGTTTTCTTGGAAGGGGCTGGAGAGAAAGGAATTGACCACGACCAGCGTGCGGTAGGGCATCCACAGAAATGCAAATAGGACCACCACCACAGCCAACATCTTGGTAACCTGGAGGAACACAGAGGTAGACAGAAGAGGGGCAGAAGGTTAGTACTCATCTTGGAAGGAACATGTACATCCCTACATCTCCAGGACCAAAGCAAAACTATGGACAGACTCTTCAGCTGGGAACTTCTGATCAATGTTTGATTCAGAAAGGTTTTCTACAGTAAGAAGGACAAAAACCCCCTGGCTCCAAATTCCTCCTAGTTTTGTTAAATGACTCTTTCCAGGTGACATCCCTGTAAGGTGATTGCAGACTTCAGACTTTTTGAAACTTCACAAGCTGGAAGGAAGTGTTGATTCAAATAGAAAAAAAAGGGATCTAAAGCCATTTGTTCCAACCACATTAGATCTCCTCCTTTAGACTAGTATAGTCTGTAGACTAATTGAACCTAAAGCCTATTTAGATTATCTGCTTTAGCAGCCACCCTAAAAGAATTTCCAAAAGCTAAAAATAATGAAAAAAAGAAGAATTAGATTTATTCCTATTCATCAAATCCTCAATATTTGATTAGCTCTTCATTATTTGATGTTTACTCTGAAAGTCAATTAAAGTTTACAGAGCCAGGAAAAAAAGTGATTATGAATAAAAACTGATTATTATAAGAACTTTCATTTGTTGTGTAAATTTGTTTTGAATAAAGAAGAAAACAGCCTTTGGGGATAGCTATGATAGCTGAAATTAAATGAACAAGAAATAATTAAAAAATTAGAAAAAAAAAAACCACTGTAAAAAGAGTCCTTCTCTTGTAAATAATTTAATTCTAGTATATATGGTATTCCCTAGTCTCTACATTAAAGAAAGTTTGAAATATGTTAATAAACAAGGTAAAAAGTACAGTGAGATGTGACAGTGGGATAGTATGGTGGCACGGCCTCAGGTAAGTCAGGAGATGACTTGGTTAACTGTGTCTGCATGTACTGGAAAACATTGGCACTGATTTTGGTGAGCTACAACTGCCTCTTTTGATTGTGATTTTTTTTTACTATTTGCCTTTCTTCTTGTTATAAAACTATTGTTGCTTATTGACAGATTAGTTTAAAGAACTTCTTTTTACCTTTGCTTTATTCCTTCCTTCTGGCTACTTGAAGTTATACTTCAATGAAACAGCAACTCCTCTAACCACAGGATACATTCTGGCTGTATGGGTTGTACTTTAATTGCTTGCAGAAAGGATAGGTGTAGATCAATAAGAGTTTTAATTGTTTCCAGGGGGACAGACAGATAACTCCACTAAAATCACTCATATATACATGCTAGTTTTGGGTGTGGTTTTTAGTTTGAAGTTATAAGAGAGTATATAATTCTCTTGTCTTCTGATCAGATAGCTCATTGTATAGGAAGCCTGCAGTCTCATTGCCTAAGGAAGGGATGTATTTTCTTCTAGCTATCTAGAAAGACACATGCAGATATAACCCGATTTATTGTTTTTGCTACAGATTTTATGATAAAGAATGGGATGAAGAGCAAAGTTACTCTACAAATTGTCGTATCTTCGTCTGTCTATCTAGGTATCTATCTTTAAACGTACGTATTCAAAGGCTACGATTTTATCCTATAATTCTCCTCCCTTCACCCTCACTTTTGACTTCCCTACAGCTGTGTTCAGTAGAAGTAAAAAATGAGACTGAGAAATATTATCTCCTTTTTTGTCACTTGACTGATACATTTCCTTATGACTTCTAGACTGCCTTTCTTGTTTGCTGTGCACAAACAATCATCGTAATAGAGCAAAATGCAAATGGAAATGTCTCAGGTAGTTAAAGGGATGATTTTTCCTTATCTCCGAACCACTTCTAAAAGGACTAGTCCTGTGAACATGGCTGCAAAGAGCGAGGTGACCCAGTGCTGGCCCACTCTGGCTGAGGAAGACTCAGGACTCCTCATCTGCTGCCTCTTCTCCCTCCAGGTAAGCTCCAGCCTGTGCCTCCAAACTGAGCAAATCCATTCAACTGAGAATAATCATTCATCATGGAAAATAATCCACATTTAAAGGAAGAAAGTAACCATTTGTGGAGCTTGGATTAACAATAAGACTGAGCCCAACTAACAGATGTGTTGCGTTGGCTCAGGTATTCAGAGGGCAAGTGGATAATAGTTTACACAAGCATCAAAGTACTTTGCTACCAGAAGCTCAGCAGGGGACTCTGTTATCATACCTACTGATCATTGGCAATTTACATTTCTTCTGAGCATGTCTTTAACGAACAATTGCTCAGAGAATCACTTACAATGGTGCAGCTGTCAGTTTGAATCCTGGGTTGAACTAGAAGCAAATTGATCTTACTGTCAGGAAGGGGATATTTTAGAGTCACACAAATAATACTTTACAGCAATGAAAAAAAGGCTGTTACTCTTCAAGTGGCTGCACCCTATATGCCTCAAAGACATATATGTATGTCGTGTGTAAACTATTAGCTGAATTTATGTATACTGGCAGCTTGATGTGCATTTTCCTTCTATCTAAAACCACCAGCTTGTACTGCTGCCATGTTCAGCTTACTAAGGCTGTGATTTGACAATATATTAGAACTGGCTTGTAGCAGCAGATAAAAAATATCATGGTCACAGCACAAGGTGCCCTGAGCTGAGATCAATTCAGCCTGCAGGTTTGAATGTGTTTAAAAATGCCAAGAGGTTAGCATCACACTGTCAGGATTTATGCCAGGTAAGACATCGTCTTGCAGCACTCAGACTCCATGATTTCCTGGTCTTGACATAAACTGAAGCCAAAGGAACCTGTGACTGGAGCTAAAAAAGCAATCCTGTCCCTCCTTGTGCTGGCCCCAAAGATGAAGAGGTAGGTCAGGTCAGACTGCTGGTCCAACTGAAAACTAAACACTTCTCTGTAGAGCTGGGTTTTGGTTTGCTCAGGTCAATGATCCAAGTCACGTACCCATACGATGCTACAGAGTCTACAGTCAGTGCAAGAGAAGAGGTAGAAGCATGTGGCCGTGGATGGCCATGGACAAGCTGGAGAAATGGGCCTGTGAGAACCTCATGAGGTTCAACAAGGACAAGTGCAAGGTCCTGCACTTGGGTCGGGGCAATCCCTGGTATCAATACAGGCTGCAGGATGCAGGGATTGAGAGCAGCCCTGATGAGAAGGACTTGGGGGTACTGGTGGGTGAAAAGGTGGACATGAGCCAGCAATGTGCTCTCGCAGCCCAGAAAGCCAACCGTATCTTGGGCTGCGTCAAAAGAAGCGTGGCCAGCAGGTCAAGGGAGGTGATTCTGCCCCTCTACTCTGCTCTGGTGAGGCCCCACCTGGAGTGCTGCGTTCAGCTCCGGAGTCCTCAGCACAGGAAGGACATGGACCTGTTGGAGCAAGTCCAGAGGAGGGCCACAAAAATGATCAGAGGGATGGAACAGCTCTGCTATGAGGAAAGGCTGAGGGATTTGGGGTTGTTCAGCCTGGAGAAGAGAAGGCTGTGGGGAGACCTTATTGTGGCCTTTCAATACATAAAGGGGGCCTACAAGAAAGATGGGGATAGTCTTTTTAGTAGGGTCTGTTGTGATAGGACAAGGGGTAATGGTTTTAAACTAAAGGAGGGTAGATTTAGACTAAACACAAGGAAAAAAATTTTTACGATGAGGGTGGTGAAAGACTGGACCAGGTTGCCCAGAGAGGTGTTAGATGCCCCATCTTTGGAAACATTCAAGGTCAGGTTGGACGGGACTCTGAGCAACCTGATCTAGTTGTAGATGTCCCTGTCCATTGCAGGGGGGTTGGACTAGATGACCTTTAAAGGTCCCTTCCATCCCAAAGCATTCTATGATCATTTGGGAGGGGGGCTAATTATTTGATGTCAGTGGAGTGCTAAGAGGACAAATTTCTTTAAGAACATGCTTTTTATTCCCTGTAACTGTATGCCAAAGCTCCCTGAAAGCAGAGGCACCAGCATCCTCATTCATTACTCAGGTGAAGGCAAGCATACACTGATTGCTCTTTTCTTGTGGATGTGCACTGCGTATCCTATACTCAGAGTACAAATTATTCTTAGTTAAGGAAATTGAAAACATGATTAAAAGGCTTTGAGCAAATCCATTTTATTCTAAATTTCAAGTGTACTTTGAATGATAGCAAAGTGCTTGAGATTGAATGTGTTCCTGGCTGCATGCAGCCGCTCTTCAAGCCCTATCTTTTGGTTTCTGAGAATGTTCTGAAAAATATTTAAAATTATTTTTACTAAACAGATTCCCAATATTTTAATTCTGAACTAGTATTCTCCTTTTCCTTCTTCCTCTAAACCCTTGTCATTCTAAGGAAGTGCTTTTACAAGACATTTTCATTACGATGGTACTCACAGTTTGGTAGTTGCTTCCTTCTCCTTTGAATACTAATCTGTCTTACATTGATAGATAAAAGTAATAGTCATAATTACTAAGTTACTGTGCCATAGAGTCATTCTGGTGTTTTAAAGACATGTAATTGTGTCTGTCTTTCTTGTGCTTGGTGGTGTTCATTGCAATGCACAAAGATTGTATATGCCAGTCCATGATTGCGCAATCCAAAAGAAGTTGTACAATGAGGAGGAGGATTAAATAAATAAAAGGATTAAGGTCTTGATATAATAACACTGCAAGCGAAACCAAGCGATATGATTGAGGATTTCATGTAAGCCATAGAAAACTTATCTTGCATTGCAAGCTGGAATCTGTGCTTGCTCTGCTGTGAGAGAACAGAGGGGTTTCTCGGGGGGGCAGATCATCACGCACTGCATCAACGTCTAAGAGAGGAATTTCTCTAGAGAGTAACCTACCTGTTTTGATTGACCATGCAGGGATCTTAGATGATTTGATTGGACTAAGCAACTAACTTTGTTAGATACGCATAAAGTTAAGTGAGTTGGATCCCATCTCAAGTATAAACAAACAGATTTGCTATCTAAGGCTGTATTTATTTTCCAGAGTCCCCTTGATACCTGAGGAAACTAGGAATTCCTTTGGGGAAAGTATGAAATCTACCTGAAAATATGTAATTCTGTATTCATATTATGGATGG